AGCACAAGATCTCTCTCAGTGCAGCCCCGATGGCCAAAAATGAGGCATTGACCCTTGGGAAATAAATGGGTGGTGCTGCCTCAGTCCCCATTTCTCCATTTTATTTTTCATCCTTTTTCTTCCTGTTTCTTTTTCTTCTTTTTTTTTTTCCTCCCAATGCTAAAGTTGTGTTACGTCAAATCAGGAACATTGGAACTGGCCCCAAACTGATTATTCATCCTTTTTTGATTGCACTGAGCAGCTCCCACCAGCTCCCTCAGCCCTTCCTGGTGCTCCAGACCCTTCCCCAGCTCCATCCCTTCCCTGGACATGCTCCAGCCCCTCCAGGTCCTTTGTGAGGGGCTGCAGTGAACAAAGAAAAAGGGAGGAACATTTCTCCAGCACCTCTTTGTAGTAGATCGAGGTTTGAAAATTAAAGCTTTGAGTTGCCTCTAACAAAAACTCCAGGAAATGCTTTGTTTTAGGAAATGAGGCGCCCTGCAGGAAAGGCGTTAAAGGAGCTGCAGCGGTTACACTGGGTGAGCCAGCAGCAGATTTTGGTAAACTTTTGATACGCCAGGCAAGCAAGGATCAAATTTCTGAAAAACATTTGATATGCCAGACAAGCAAGGATCATGTTTTTGATACATTTTTTATAAACAAGGTGAGCAAGCAGCAATTTATTGCTACATCAGGCGAGGCAGCCAAGGAGCGTTAGGAGGTGGCCGTGACATTGCCACTCCCAGTGCCACCCCCTCTATCAGGAAGTGCCCAAGCGGCCCCAGCGCTGCCCAGTCTGTGGCTCCAGCGCTGCCCAGTCTGTGCTGTCCGTGCTGTCCTGAGCTGTCCTGGCTGCTCCAGCTCCCCTCGTGCTGGTCCTGCTGCCATGGCACTGCTTCCTCACTGGGCAGCTCTTGGAAGGGCTTTTCCAGGATGGACGCCTCGTTACAGTGACCACGGTGGCCACGCTGGCAATAATGGCCAAGTGGTAACAATGGCCACAGGGGTCACAGCGGTCACAGTGGACGAAGTGACCATAGTGGCCATAATGGCCTCGGTAGCCTTGGTGGCCTCGTTTCTCTGGGGGTCCTGATGGCCTTCCACAGTGACCTTGGTGGCCTCGTTTCTCTGGGGGTCCTGATGGCCTTCCACAGTGACCTTGGTGGCCTCGTTTCTCTGGGGGTCCTGGTGGCCTTCCACAGTGACCTTGGTGGCCTCGTTTCTCTGGGGGTCCTGGTGGCCTTCGTGACCATGGTGGCCACACTGGCACCCAAGACCACAGTGACCTTGGTGGCCTCGTGGCTTAGAGGGTTCCAATGGCCACTGCCATGGCCACGGTAGCCAGGAGAAGCCCCCCAAAGTGGGGGGAGTTCCTGGGGAGACTCCCACCTGTGGGGACAAAGAGAGGGGTCAGGGGGATAATGAGGTGAGAGGGTCGGGGGGCATCAGGAGGGCCATGGGGGATGGACAGAGGTGGTGGGTGGCCCTCAGGGTGTGGGGTCAGAGGGGGCCATAACAAGGTATATTTCCCCTGTACCCAGCCATGTACCACATACCTTGTCCCCCCAACCCCAGCACTGGATGTCCCTGTCCCCCTCACCTGGCACTGGCTGTCCCCATCCCCTGTGCCAAGCAAAGCTGTCCCTGTCCTTGTCCCCAGCGCTGGGTGCCCTGCCTCCCACCCACAGTGGGTGTCCCCGTCCCCTTTAGGCCATGGGTGTCCCTAGCACCATGTGTCCTTGTCCCCAACCCTCAGTGAGTGTCCCCATCCGCCCAGGCTGTTCCCATGATGTCACCTCGCAGCCACTCGCAGTTGTAGTTGCTGGAGTTCCCAGTGGAGCGAAGCCCAATCACCTTCTTCCCTTCCCCGGTGACTTTGGTGACCTCAAAGGTCTCGAAGGGTGGGATCAACACCTCACGGTTGCTAGGATTGTAGGAAAAAGCCTGGATGTCCACGCCGTGGCACGTGTACACCTCAAACATTGTGTCTGTCCCATAACCCTGGGCCACGTTTTTGTCCCGCGACGATGAAGCGAATTGGCCGAAGCGGACTTTATTGCCAAGTTTTGCATCGAACTGGACATCCCTCACCCCTCGGTACACGTCCAGACACTCATTAGGGCGTCTCAGCTTCT